AGACCAGTTGGATTCTAGTCCCTGCCTACAGAGCCGGTCCAGAAGTGTAAATGGAAACGCAACGAGACATGAGCCGATCTGAACCGACACGAACTGATCGATCCGCACTGTGACAGTGGAAAAGGGGCAATAGTCCCTCCAGCGTGTCCTGGGGTCTTCCTCTGGGTCTCCTCCCAGTAGAACGTGTCTGGAACACCTCGTCCAGGAGGCATCCTAACCATAGATGAGGGTAGGAATGTAGATCGACCGGTAAATTGAGAGCTTTGCTTTTTGACTCGGCTCTCTCTTCACCACGACAGACCGGTACAGTTCCCGCTCCACTGCAGATGCTGCACCTATCCGCTTATCGATCTCTCGCTCCATTTTTCCCTCATTCGTGAACAAGACCCCAAGATACTTAAACTCCTCCACTTGGGGCAAGACCTCCTCCCCGATCCGGAGAGGGCACTCTACCCTTTTCCAGCTCAAGACCTTGGATTTGGAGGAACTGATCCTCATCCCGGCCGCGTCACACTCTGCTGCAAACTGCTCCAGTGAACGTTGTAGATCACGATCTGATGAAGCCAATAGGAGTACGACCCACAACAAGTAAACCAACCTTAAACGCTGGGGTGACCGTGTCTTTTCTGCGGCTGCACCTCGACTCTGGAATACGCTCCCACTTGATCTACGTCAGATTACTGAACTTGGCCCTTTTTAAATCGAAGCTTAAGACTTTTTTCATTCCAACAGGCTTTTAGTACTTAAATATGTGGTGACATTTCAGGTTTTCTTTTTGTTATTTTGTTGTTTTTCTTGATTTTAAATTGTTGTCATGTTAATTACTGTTTTTGTTAAGCATGTTGGTCACCATCACCATGGTTGTGTAAAGCGCTATAGAAATAAATAAATTAAATTAAAACTATTAATACTGACAAAGTTGAGTTTTATGTTTATTTGACAGTGATTTCAAATTTCTTTGAAGACTAAATACAAATAAAAGGTTTAAATTAATTTATTTGTACAGTTTGTACAGTTTTTCTAAGGTTTGTATATTGTTTATATTGATTTCAGAATTATATTGCTATCAACCGAAATTAATAAATATATTGTGATAATAGTTTTGGCCATATCGTCCAGCCCTACTGAATCCAACCTAAGACTGACCCTTAAGGTCAGAGCCAACTAAGATGCTCAAAGTGATTACGGTCCAGTTTTCTGGAACCAGAACTCAGGGTCTTGTTTTAAAATTAAACAGAAAACCTATTTCCCCAACATTTCAATAAAGTTTACATCCAAAAAAGTTCAATCTGGTCCTCTGGACATTCAAAAAACAACAAAACAAAAAAACAAAACAAAACAAAAAATATGTAGAAACGTTTCATCTCTCATCCGAGAGACTTCCTCAGTCTGAGGTGCTGTATTCAGCTCAGTCTCTTAAATAGCACCTTCTCAGAGTGGATCAACCAGTTTGCTGCTGACAACCAAAACCAGCTGCTCACATGGTCAAGAAGGACCATCAGCCTAACAATGGATCATTAGCACACTGATGGCTTTTTACAATTCACAGGGGGTTGAGTGATACTAGCAATCACAGCATTGTAAGAGGGGGACAGCTGAACCCGGAGGCTTCCACCCCTGTTTAATGATGGACGATTTCTTTTCACAAAGATGGCCTCTTTTACTCCTTTCTCAAACCATCGTTCCTCTCTGTTGTAGTAGTAACGTACGGACGTACGCCACCAACTGTAGTATGACATATAGGGATATATATGCATACTTTTTCACGAATTCCTCATCTTTCTGACTGTGTAAATGTTGTGCATTGAATTTTAACAGAAATGTAACGAGAGACGTTATTATCTTTGACCCATCAAATGAATGCGGTCATTTATTTTCAGAATCAAAGTTTAACATCAAACATTTACATTAATTTGGCAAAATATGAAAATAATAACAGACAAGTTTCACAAATAATGGACATCAATCACACAGCGGTGATTGAGGACTTAGCTTCAGATATTTCTAAATATCTGTACTGATTTTAGGAGAAAGGAGAGTTTAAGATGGAAATGGAGATTTATCTTACAGAGAGATTTGTGAGGGAATTAATCTGTTTGACCAGAAAACGTGCACGCTCCATCAGATCTCAGCTTGCGACGGTACACTCGGTTGAAGTAGATCGTTACCTGGTTGATGATAAATCAGCTCGGTATAGAATCCTTCAGACTCTTTCAGCGTCTCCGTTGAGCAGCTGAAATCCTTCGAGAGTCGTACGAGGTTGTTCAAACAGATGTTATAATCCCAAAACGTCTTTGGATCATCCTGAACGCGTTTGCATCCAAGAACTCTAACTCCATCAACTCATCAGCACTCTCTTTGTGGAACTCTCAGAGTTCTGCAGCATCAGACTCTTTTTAGCTCCATTAATCTTCAGCGTCTGGCTTCAGACTTCAGACTCCAGCACTCTCTTTTTGAACTCATTCCTGAGCTAGAACTCAGCAACTCAAACTCCAGCAACTGCTCGTCTCAGCTTCTCCTGAACTGGGAAGTTGCCACATTTTAAATGGGTCGACTTCCGGGTCATTTGAGAGCTTTCTGATTGGTCGATGACCAGAACAGAGGTGCGGTTTGTGATGTAAGGTGTTATGAAAAGTCAAGGTCAGAGAATGAGATTGTTCAATGTAGATGAACAGATGCTGGGATATATTCATCATTTAACGCGGGTTCCTCATTTTTCTGGACTGAATAAAACGTGCATTGAATTTAAGGAAATGCAAAGTGAGACGTCATTTAAATTTGACCCATCAAAATGAATGCGGTCATTTATTTACAGAATCAAATTTAACATCAAACATTTACATTAATTTGGCAAATTATGAAAATAACAATATAAGCAATCAATCAGGAAAAATCATACGGCCATGATTTTTCCGTTGCTGCACCACAGACATTTATAAACTGTACAACTATGATCTTTTACCCACACGGATGTGAATAAGCACTTTACACAGACATTTCTAAATATCTGGGAGAATTTCTACTTCATAGGAAAGTTTAAAGATGGAAAGAAGTTTAGAGGGAGTAAAGGATGGGGTTTGAGGGAAATTGAATGGTCACCAGAACCGACACTCTCCATCAGAAGCCCAGCTCGCCTCGGTACGCTTGGTAGGAAACTTGACCCATTACCTTTCTGATGATAATCAGCAGATATGGTGTTCCGTTAACGCTACCGGTCCAGCGTCTCCTTAGAATGCCTGTAGCCCGTCAGAAGTAGTGGCGAGGCTCTGTTCGACACACATTCACCTCAGTGGAAAATGTTATAATCCCATGGAACTCGGAAGAGCTTTGTTGTCATGTCAGGAACTCCAACAGCACTCCATCAGAACTCCAGAACTCTAGAAGTCTGACAACTCTCCAACTCCGTGAACTCTGTAACTCCGTGAGTCGTAAGTCACTCTGAGTACCTGTGAGTCTGTGTAGACCAGGAAGTACTGACATTTTAAAGACTCTTTCCCGGTTCACTTTTTGGGATTTTTCATTGGTCAGAAACGACCAGAAGGGGTGTGTTTTTGTGACGTAAGAGGTTAGAGACAGTGAGAATTGTTATGGGACAGCTCAGAAATGTTCTCACAGACCGAGAGGGTTCTGTTTTGGCGTGCCTAAGAAACAGGTGCAAAACATCTCTATTTACGTCTGAGAGGATTCTAAAACATGACAGTTTTAACATAACAACTTGTTTTTCGTTTGACTGTAACACTGTAACAACTAACAGAAAGATTATTGCAGAAACCAGACTTCGTGGAGTCTCACTCTGCTGTATCTTCTCAAATAGTTAAACATGACATTTTTTCTCAGTAAACATTTTAGTTGACCGAGAACCGACCTTTAACATACTTACATTGCAGACAGAAAAATCAAGAAATGCATATTAACCTGATTTCTTCTTTGAATGAGGAATAAAAATCATTACTTACTGTTTATGTAAAATAAAAATGAGTAGTTCTCTTCAACCTGTAAACATTGAGTAAACTAACACAATTTGATTATCAAACATTTGTAAAATAGTAATGATCATAGAGAATTGTCTTTTCTGCTTGATTAATTCAAGAAAGAAAGTCACCAGATGGCTCAAACTGTATTTCTGGATGCAGATCAATGAAATAACAGTCTCTGTTCATCTGATCAAGATTTGGGGTCAGATCAGGTTCACTACACTGTTCAGGATGTGAACATCTTCATCCTTGAAAGAGTGAGCGCTGGCCTGGAGATGAGTGTAGACCGCAGAATCCTGGCCTAATGATGTTGATCTTCTGTGCTGGGCCATCCTTTTGGCCAGTGGCTGTTTAGTTTCCCCGATGAAAGACTGATCACAGCCCTCCTGATAATGAACAGCATACACAATATTACTGTTTGTGCCGGGGGACTGGATCTTTGTGAAAAGAAATCGTCCATCATTGAACAGGGGTGGAGGCCTCCGGGTTCAACTGTCCCCCTCTTACAATGCTGTGATTGCTAGTATCACTCAACCCCCTGTGAATAGTAAAAAGCCATCCATGTGCTAATGATCCATTGTTAGACTGATGGTCCTTCTTGACCATGTGAGCAGCTGGTTTTGGTTGTCAGCAGCAAACTGGTTGATCCACTCTGAGAAGGTGCTATTTAAGAGATTGAGCTGAATACAGCACCTCAGACTGAGGAAGTCTCTTGGATGAGAGACGAAACGTTTCTACATTTTTTTGTTTTGTTTTGTTTTCTTGTTTTTGGAATGTCCAGAGGACCAGATTGAACTTTTTTGGATTTTTCTACCTGGATTATTGAGCATGTATCAGGAAATAAAGTTTACTTAGTGAATACATTTCTTGTTTTGTTTTACATTTTCCGTGTGTTCTGTGTTGTATTAGTTTAGCGTCAGTATTTGTCACCAAGGCGCTCCACACATAAACCTAACGTGATAAACGGAGACAAAAAGCTCCACAAAGAGGTGAACCAGATCCGTCACCAATCATTCAGGATGTTACCTCGATGTTGTCCTGTCCATACAGCTCGGTGGCTTTCTCCTCTGACAGTCCACAGGCTCCGTACTCCAGGGGGGTAAAGACGGTGGTGGGAACGTTGACATAGTCACACTGCCAAGGAAACAGCTCAGAGGTCAATTATTTACTCGAGTCATTACAGACATGTCCAGGTTGTCTTGTTAAAGTTGAACCAAGTAAAGACTCGTACCTTGACTGTGGATCCAGCATAAAGGCGACGAGCCAGCAGCTTTCCAGCTTGAATGGCTACAGGAGTCAGCTCCCACTTGTTCTCCAGGATGTCTCCAATGGCGTAGATGTGTGGCACGTTGGTCTGCTCCTCATCATTCACGGGAATTTTCCCATTTCTACAATAAGACGTTGAGGGGACAGCAAGAAATAAAGCTGGCTTCAGCTCAGTTCTTTCTTGTTAATGTAGCTCTAAATAACCTTTTCCATCCTCTTGTTGGGATTCAACAAGTGAAACAACTTTTCAAGTACAGTCCAATCGCATCGAAACAAGAAGTAACTAAAGTGGAAAATAAATAATAAACCCAACAAATTAGTTAATGTTCACAGAGCACATCTCATGTTTCTACAACATGACCAGGACATTAAACCAATTTAAATGTTCAACAAAACTGTAAGCAAACGACCAATTAGTTGCTACAGATAATTATTGCACATGATTTGGCACAACTTGTCCATGTTAATCTAGTGTAAGACCACATGCATTTACATAAGATGGTCTTAGACAATCTTATCGCAAGCAGAACTGGTTTGTTCCACTTTGGAGTAAGCTGTTGGGGGAAGAATCAGTTTTGTTGTGCGTTTCCTTGACTGATGAGGCCTTCCAGACCAAAGGCAAAACGTTTCAGCACAAAAAAAAGAAACTGTCCAGATGACCCGACTGAAAAATGTTGGATTGTATACCTGGATTATTGAGCATGGACTTTGTTGTTGACTGTTGCACTTCGCTCACACAATTTGCTGCTTCTGTCCCTTTTGCTCGGACTGAATTTGGTAAGAAGGCTTTCGTTCACACTGCTTCCTCTTCTTGGGAGTTGCTACAAGAATCTCTGAGATTGACTGAATTCATCTCATTCAGTACTTTTACATCCAAACTAAGTTATTGAGGCCAATTCAATGACATTTATTGGCCAATTCAATGACAATTATTGGTTTTAATAGCTAGCTTGTTTTATAGTACCTGTTTTTAAAGCTCATTTCCTTTAACCGTGTCATTTTTTGTGTTGCATTTGTTGCTGCCTGTTGGCCAGGTCTCTCTTGAAAACAAAAAGAGTTTTTTAATCTCAATGTTTTTTTTTTTAATCCTGGTAAATAAAGGTTAAAAAATAAAATAAAAATCAGGTTGAGGATATTTGCCCTCTGCTGTTTTGCTTGGCATTAGCTTGAAAATGACTAAAAGTACATTGAAACACTTCAAAGGCAGCCGTGTTGAAACCATCCACTCCTTCACTCTGAGTCAACCTTTTTTTAGATGTTTGAAAGAAATGTAAATTAATATTTTTCCCACTTGGTGTCATTGAAACTCATGTGGTCCAACAACGTACACAAGAAGAAGCTGTATATTAAGTAATAGGCAAAATCTAACGTGGCCTGTTGAGCCAACACAGCAGCACATTAATCTGACAGACTGAAAATACTTTTATTATCTACAAGAGTCTTATGTAACATGAGTTATCCTCTGCCTGAGCTGTGGAGCTCAAGGAAGCATCACAACGTTCCTACAGCTCTCCTGATTCAACTTTCCACACACAAACTTTGTACAGCTACAGCTGCATACGAACAACAAACTCCTGAAAATAAAGGACAGTTATTATAAAAGAGTAAGTATGTTCAATCATCCAGGTAAATAACTGACAATTATTTAAGTATTTCCACCCCCATTATTCAACTACAGACCCTTTCCAAAAATTGAGAATATCATGGAAAAGTTGTTTAACTTCCATAATTCCATTCAAAAAGTTGATCTTCAATAGATGATAGATTCAGGGCCCACAATTTAAATGATTTCAAGCATTTATTTATTTTTACATAATTTGGGCTTCCAGCTCATGAAACTCACGAAACAAGATTAAAAAAAAAAAAAATTAGAATAATGTGAAGACATCAGCCCACACTACTCAGTTTTTGCAGAAAAAAAAGAAAAAAGAAATTAGGATCACAACAAATCAATCAAAATATGGTACTTTCAAAACAATATGTCGATCTTCATTACTTGGTTGGGAATCCCTTTGCCTAAATCCACTGTTGCCACTGTGTTTGCTCAGGATGGGATATTACAACGAAGCCAAGATTCAACTTGTCTGCTGGATTCCTTAGATAGAGAACTTTACTAATTGGCTTTTATATATGTGAAGGTTTCTGTAAAGTGCCCTGAGACAACTTTGTTGTGATTTGGCGCTATATCATCATCAAATTTATTTATAAAGCACTTTAACATAGCCATAGCTGAAACAAAGTGCTGAAACATCAGTTAAAAACAAGATAAAAGACAGCATAAAAACAGAGCTACAAACCCAAGCACACAACTCAATTTAAAACACAATAAAACAACAAGTTAAACAGATAAAATCAACACCAATAAAATAAAGTAAAATCAAGACTCAGTTGGGTTGAAGGCCAATGAATAGAGATGAGTTTTTAGATGGGTTTTAAAAATAGACAGCGAGGGGGCCTGTCGAATGTACAAAGGCAGTGTTCCATAATTTAGGGGCACTAACAGAGAAGGCCCTGTCTCCTTTAAGCTTCCTCTTACTCTTGGGGATGACCAGAAGCAGCTGGTCAGCAGACCTGGGTGACCGAGGTGGAGTGTAATGGTGGAGAAGCTCTGTTAAATAAGGGGGGGGGCAAGACTATTTAAAACCTTAAAAACAAACAAAAGAATTTTAAAATAAACTCTAAAATACACGGGCAGCCAGTGAAGAGAAGCCAGGACAGGTGTGATGTGCTGTCTTTCGTGTGTTCCAGTTAAAAGACGTGCAGCAGCATTTTGCACCAGCTGCAGACGTGCGAGTGAGGACTGGCTGACTCCGAGATAGAGAGAATTACAGTAATCCAGCCGTGATGAAATTAAGGCATGGATTACTGTTTCAAACTGTTGCCTTGAAAGAATAGGTTTTACTTTTGCCAATTTTCTCAAATGATAAAAAACAGACTTTACTGTGGCCCTTATTTGACTGTCGAGTTTAAAATCACTGTCCATCTTAAAACCAAGATTTGTAACTGTAGACTTTACGTACATTGTTATGGGGTCTAAGTCGACTGAAGGGCTCAAACAAGCTCCACTAGGTCCAAAAACAAGTACCTCAGTCTTTTTTTCATTAAAATGCAGGAAGTTTAGGGCCATCCAAGCTTTAAGATCCTCAAGACACGATAAAAGAGGTTTAATGGACCAGGCATCAACTTGCCTCAAAGGAACAGATTTGGCAAGCATCAGCATAGCAGTGAAAGGAGATGCTGTTTTTTCTAAAAAATGATCCTAGAGGAAGCAGATATAAAGAAAAAAGCAAAGGCCCTAAAATTGATCCCTGAGGTACGCCACATGACAAAGGAACAGAATAGGATTCATGCCCAGCAGTTTTTACAGAGAAAGTTCTGTCAGTCAGATAGGACCCCAACCACTCCAGAGCAGTCCCACCAGTGCCTACTTGATGCTGTAGACGTGACAATAAAATGCTGTGGTCCACTGTGTCAAGCGCAGCAGTTAAGTCCAGTAAAACAAAAATCACATGATCACCTGAGTCACATGCCAGGAGGACGTCATTAAAAACTCTCAGCAGAGCTGACTCTGTGCTATGGAGAGTTTTAAATCCAGACTGGAACACATCCATGATGTTATGTTCATCCAGGAAGGATTTTAACTGAGCATAAACAATTTTCTCCAAGATTTTTGACAGGAGGGGAAGCTTAGGGATGGGCCTAAAATTCCCCAACACAGTGGGATCGAGACCAGGTTTTTTTAATAGGGGCTGTACAACAGCATGTTTAAAATTAGCAGGGACTACTCCAGATAAACTACTGTTAAAAAGGTCAAGAACCAAGTGTTTATAACAAGGGAAAACCTCTTTAAGAAATATCCTGATGCATGCTCAATAATCCAGGTAGAAAAATCTAAAAAAGTTAAATCTGGTCCTCTGGACATTCAAAAAAA